CTGGGAGTCGGTCATGATGCACAACTTCGGGATACGCCAAGACGACGCGAGAGTGAGGCCCTTTACCACGGCATCTAGCTCGGCGACGTTGATGTGGCGTTTATCGGTGGCACCGCGGAGCCACGACTGGTCTTCGAGTACAGTACCATCAGCTTCGAGCACGACACCGTAGGCAATGCTGGAGGCGTCGCACCAAACACGCCAGTCTTGGGGATCGTCCGCAGTCCAGGCTCCATGAACAGGGTCGTCGCCCTCCACACGCTTTGCCGCATCGTGGCAAAGGTCGCACAACTCCTGGGGGACAGCTGCATCCCAGGCATCCGTTGTTGCAGACGCCAAGCGCTTCAGCCAGCTAGCCAAAGGGCGCAGATAGCCACAGACCGGATAATGACCAGTCAGTTGACCACACCACTGGAATACATTCTGCTTAGTCATCTGGGTAGGAGGGGGTTGCAGTGGCTCGCGTCGCTCCCACTGGCCATCGTGCGTCTGCAGACCAAGGACGCGAGTCGCATCAACGTCCACAGCAGGTTTCGTAGGCAATCCATGGGCGGTCAGCGCGTCCGCAAGGGCCTCCGCCTGATCTGTCGGCGTGATGATGTCATCAATGTAATTATCGGTGTCGGTGAAGTCACGGGTCACCCATTTCACAATAGTGTCCAAGACTTTCGGCGCAATGGCAAGGTCAAAGCCCATGCGCTCCATCACGTACTGTCGTCCTTGCCAAACGACCATCTGGAACCGCTGCTGGGTTGGGTGGATGCGAACATTCAGGAAGGCCTTACGGATGTCGACAATCTTGGACGCGCCTTTTCCGTTGCCGCCACTCGCGAAGCTTCTCAGGGCACGCGGGTGCCTCCCGACCAGGGCTGGAGATGATCCGAACGTTCAGCGCACGGTAGTCCAAACACGGACGCACGGGTGTGGTAGGCTTATGTTCCTGACACACAGCCAACAGTGGCAGTACGGCGCCTGGTGGACCATGTCGATCAGCATCATACGGTACAAGCCATCCCTCCGCCAGCCAAAGGTCAATCTCGGCCTGGAACTTGGCCTCCTGCTCCGGTGACAACTTCTGGCGGGAGTATTCGCCAATACCAGAGCCAATAGGGGCTTGCGGTGGTGCGCCTGCCGACCAACGCCATTGGACTTCCCAAAAACCACGCTCGGCGTCGAAGGCGACCTCAGCATCACCCATGGACAGGGTGACATTCGGCCCATCTCGTGACACAGAGACATCGCGTGGCAACTTAGCGGAGCTCTCCGGGTTGTCAGACTCGGACGTGGTATCGGATGCAGTTGACGGATCACGCGGGCGACCAAACCATACGGTTGCGAGGACACCATCGGGGGCATAACCAAGGTGCACGCCACCCACGGAGGAGATAATGTCCAGTCCCAGAAGGATATCAGCGTCAACCACATCCAAGGTGTCGACAACGAGGAAATCAGCAGTAACTTCAGGCAGGTGCACTTTGTCATCGTCACGATGAACAGTCAACCGGACTTGCCCAGACACCACAACTTCCTGCCCATCGATGGCGGTAATGCGCGGGTTGGACTCTACGAGCTGAACGGGTACACCCAACTCGGAGACAACGCGATAGCTGATCAAGGACTTACTAGAGCAGGAATCCACGGCAGCACGCAGCCTGGCCTGGCCCTCACTATAGACATGAATCCTGGGCAGCGACGAACAGGGGCTTGCCACAACACTGAGGCAGGCATTGCCCGTGGTCGACGAGCCCGAGCCCGCAGCACAGGCGGTACTAGTGGGCGTCTGAGAAGAACTGGCACCACCACTAGACTTCAGCTGAGGGCACTGACGCTTGACATGGCCGGGCTGCTGACAATGAAAGCAAACAGGAGGACGTCTCTGCCGGTTCGGGCAATCGCGCCGCAAATGCCCAGTCTGATGACACTCATAGCAGAGGCGACTAGGGGTGGAACTGCCACTGGGTCGTCGAGCAGGGCTGGCTGTCAGAGCAGCAACGGGTTCCTTGACTAAGCTGCCCGCAGCACAAAGGGCACGGGCCTGGGCTGCAACTGAGCTTACCGTAGCCCCAGCAGGTTGAGAGGCTGCATCCAAACGAAGCTGCACGGCGAAGTGAGGCGGAAGCCCCACCAGGAACTGCTCCAAGAGGATCGGGTCCTTGCCGTCCGCTGCCTCCTTGTGTCCACTCAGCCGTTGCAGCCGCCGAAGATCCGCCAAGTAGGCGTCGACAGTTTCGTCCGCACGCTTCCTCCGCTTGACAAACTGGTGGTAGGCATCGGCAGGGGTGACTGAAAATGACTCCACGAGCCGCTGCTTTACCTTGGCCTCGTCCTTCTGATCACCACTGGCCATCTCACACCAAACAGTGAATGCATCACCCGACAAATACAATGGGAGTACGGCCATCCGGGCTGCTGACGACTCAAGCTTCTGGATGCCTGCCACCACCTGGAACTTCTGCCAGAATTCATCCAGATTATCATCGCGCCCCCGAAAAGGTCGCAGCAAATTGTCCACGCGAGGACCCGACGCCATCACTATACAGGCCGTCGACCAAAAACACTGTCAGAAAAAACGAATAAGACTAGGTTCAGCAAACGGGTTTTCGGCACCACTTGTGACTGAAAACTCTCCTCCCGGACTCCACAGCAACACAACCGGATAGGACGGGAATATTATAATTATTAGGACTGAACAAACATGAAACGGGAAGTACAAAAAGGAAAAGACTACATACCAGCCGCCATCAAAATCGGGCTCAAAACAACAACAGGCACTACATCATTGCGCAACAACTTTGGAGCATGCGCATGCTTGGCCAAGTCCTGTTACCATGGGACCACTCTATCACAAGCACATTTACAAAGCACGAGATGGAGAAACGACGACACTACGAAGAGCGCGTTAGAGAAGTGGAGAAAGCATCGTTCGTCCTCCTGGTGTCTTGTGCCTCCGGTGGTCAAGGCAAGGCTGCCTCAGCTTTCCTCAAGCGCATTGTGTCAATGCTTGCCGAGAAGCGGAAGGAACCGTTCTCTATGGTGATGGCTCACCTCTGACTCCGCCCAGGGTTTGCACTCATAAGATAGGCAATTGTGAGCTTAAGAGGCCATCGTTCCAGGCGAGCACCTTTAGATCAGCGGCTGGAGTGCCCCTCAGCTCTAGTGAATGCTGAGTGTCATCTGGGTTCACCCTTATCTCCTGTTACATGACTGTATTGTTTTCGCTTAGTACTAGCTTAAAAACTCGGACGTTGAGCCAATAGTAATATGGAAAGAGAAAGGTCCTCGCTTGGCCTCCCCTCTTCATGTATTTTTACATACCTTTGAGCCTCCCAAGTTGGGTGGTCTGTTGCCTTTCGAGTTGTAGTTAGACCGGTGTATCCAATGGTCTTACTAGTCTTGTCATCATCATCCCATAACGTTCGACATTCTTTGTTGCCGAGGGACATAGCTCGTGCATATCTTCGTGGCGCATCCGTTCTCCTCATTGGAACTTTCCGCACCTGAGCCTTCCAAGTTGGAAGGTTTTTGGTTTCCACTTCATGGATGTGTCGGAGCTAGGTGTCAGGTCATCGAATGTCTCGATATCCGTTGTCAGTTTTGTGCATTGTTGTCGCACTATCTGACTGTATATTATCTCGTTACCTTGGTTACCTTGGTTACCTTGGTGGACTGTTAGTCATAACTAGTAACTTATACGTCCTTTTCTCTTTCCATATTATTAGTTTCTTTTAAATGGAAAACCTTACACACACACCATCTTCAATCCAAGTGGTCTCTTTGCTGCAAAAATAATTCTCAATCAAATTTTCGGCCAGGAGCCATCACCAGGCATCCTGATGATGGCTCCTGGCCGAAAATCTGATTAAGAATTATTTTGCAGCGAAGAGACCACTTGGATTGAAGATGGTGTGTGTAAGGTTTCCATATCATTAGTTTGTTTCTTTTTTTTAATAGAGGCCGGAGGCGGACAATAATTTTCAAGCGAAGGTAAGTACTACGCAAGTATCCACGCAAACGCACACATCCATTCAAATAAGGCATTAGTCGTAAAGTAACCGACCGTTTTCGGTCCCTTCTCATCAAGGATTGTACAGGGAATGGCTCAAGTTGGAAAGACTAAAACTTATATAGCATGAAGATAGTGGGATAACAACACTCGTGACAAGGTGGAAAATTATCGAGTTCAGAACAACACAAATCTCATTTATAGACTTGGATGGAGAGTCAAGCAGGGCCGGCGGAACCGGTCAGGCTGGTCCGGCCATGGCCGACCACTTTCCCAGCTGGATGGTCCATGTGATTCGTGCAAAACCGGTGTAAAAAATCCAGAGGTACATGGCTCGACTGTACTGCCGACGTGTGATGTGCTTCGAAGTCGCTCAGGACTCCATGACCGGCACTGTATGGCTTGAATGATATGGATAAAAAAGTGTGTTTGTGTTCTTTTACTATAATTTTCTGCATTTTCTGGAGCCTTAAGAGGTGCCCAAATTCCCTCTATTTCACGTAAATTTTAAATATTTCTCCCGGGGGAGGTCCCCGGACCCCCCTCAAAGGTTGGCCGGACCACTCCAAAACTCCTTCCTCCGGCCCTGTCAAGGACAAATTTATGGAAAAGAAAAAAGACCAGGGAACTACAAGTTACGCTATGATATCCACTAACACCACCAGTTACTAAAACACATCCTACACAGCTGAGACTTTCAGCTCGTGCTTGTCTTGGTTGCGCTCGCCTTCCCCTCCTATGTTATCATATAACTTAGAACCTTCCAAGTTGTAAGGCTGTTGGAGTGCGCATCCAAGACGTGCTAGAGCTGATAGCCAGTTAGGTGTAGAATGTCAGTATAGTCGGTCAGTGTCGTGCAATGTTATCGCATGAGCTGATTGTTTAGTAACTGGTGGTGTTAGTGGACATTATAGCGTAACTTGTAGTTCCTTGGTCCTTTTTCTTTTCTATAAAAAATAGATATCAGTGAGTGATGCATAAAGCACAGAGGAATTACCAGTATTGCCTTGGATTTGGTTGGTCCAGCCCTGGCATGGCCCGACTGAAATATTGCAGTGGACAAGATCTGCACTTGGAAACACGGATCAGAACAACACAACGATTTCTTTCACTCCAAGGCATAAGCAATTTGCAACACACAACGAAAACACACTTGTCACAAGTCGGCATAAAGTGACCGCATCATCTCCATGCATAAAGAAGGTTGGACAGGGGAACACAGGCTCCTTCAGAGTGAAGCATTGAATTGATTGGAAACCACATCGTCAACGCTTCTAACGTGTATGTTAATCCTACAATTCTAGCGGTGCACACACAACACTCAGACCACTATTGTTTCTCGGCATGAATTTCTTGATGGTAATGCTCACAAACAAACCTGTGGGGCAGACTGGTCCTGGGCAGTCAGGTATGCACCGCTGGGCTGAAGCGATATATGTTGACCCATGTTTACACGCTGCAGAAACAAGGAGAAGCAATTGAATGAAAAAAATGTTCCATTACTAAATGTATGCTAGTTCAGTTCGGTATATCACCGGATACGAATTTTACTTCTGCAATGCATGAGTGCACTTGTGCCAGTGGTTGCGAGACTTATCCACTCACCCCCACCGTTAGGCGCTGCATCTGCCGCTAGGGTTTACCGGGTGTTAGCGGCCGTCGTGAGTTCCCTTCGGGAACGGACACGATAATTTACTTTACTTAATGCATGAGTGTACTGTATTCACGCATAGCATGCTGGTACAGCGCCACTGTACTGCACATACAGATGTATGCACACGTGTCTGGCCACGAGGGCTCCTGTACTGCATGTACTGTTGACCTTGTCACACCAGCCACTTCCTCTCCTCTCATCCTTTTCTGTTCAGGTGCAGTGTGTAGTATGGTGGGTTTAACACCGTACAGACTCAGGGGTGTTCGGTTTCGATCTACAGGTTTGGGTAGAAACTACACGGTGCAGGCCGGAGAAATCCAACCTCATGAATAAAGTAGCGCCGTGTTAAGGTGCCCAGACCAGTGTGTGTAGTGCTAGGGCTGCGTAGCGCCCGGCAACGCTATTTTATTCATGAGGTTGGACTTCTTTGGCCAGCACCGTACTTCTTTCGGTAGGTGCATTCCTTTTCTTCTACTCAAAAGAGTAGATTCTACTTTTCTCTACCGGCTCTACCAGGTTTGAAGCTGGTGGAGGTTGTTAAAAGTTGGTAGGGGTACAGGATATCCAGCAAGATCAAGGAGTTGTACACAACTGTATACAGAAGAGAAACAGTTTACGTACATATCGTGAAGAATTAAATCCGGTAGGACAGCGTTCGTGCACTTACCTCTACCTTCTACCCCATGGGGTAGAATGACTCAACGCTATCAGGTAGCTAAAACGAACGTAGCCTCAGTGTGCACTGTGCTCCACCCCAGAGTACTCCAAGTCGAAATCTCATTGCCAACTTTCGCCCCCTACACATAGTGCAAGCAATGTAGGTGCCACTGCCCGCAAGAAGTGCCCACTTTCTACAGAGATGCACTCACATGGCAGCAAACACATGAGACCACTTTATCTACAACTGTTCCAAGTCAAACACCATGTACATACCTGAATCGTTCGTCGCCTGTACAGGGCATTCGCCAAAGAAGTCTATTTTGAATACATTGCATATAGCGTTCGACGTGAACATGATAGAAACAGGCCCTGAGTAGGATGCCAGATCAGCGCCGAAAGTTAAAATGTTGCCATAGCTGGTGAGCAGAGGAAACAAAGAATGACAGTACATACAGGCAACTATAGCGACTGCTGCAACGAGTGCAGAGCCCATTAAAATCGGTTGTGGCAACAAACGCGATTAGGCCGGCTGCAGGGACGCCGTAATGTCGCACTTGCCCCAGCACCATTCAAACAATTCCCTTTGGCAGTTCACGGCACGAACTTCAACAAAGCCCCGTGAATGCGTACCAGGGGAAGGCTAGACAGCATGTCTCTAGACATCAATAGGCATCGTATGAAAAGCCAGTCAATAGCACTAAAGAGCGGAAGCCTTTGTCACGGTTCGGTTTCACTCGCGCACCGGGCCCGAGCTGGCAGCACAAACAAACGCCGGACGCGAGCTGGCAGCACAAACAAACGCCGGACGCGAGCTGGCAGCACAAACAAACGCCGTACTCACACGAGACCGTTGGGCCAACGGATGGCCACAGCCATCAAAAACAGAAACAAACCCATCCACGGCTCTTTCTCTTGCTAGCTGTGCTGCTGCGTGCATCCAACTGTTTTGCAATTTCTCATCGTATGAAAAGCCAGTCAATAGCACTTCTTTCTCTTGCTAGCTGTGCTGCTGCGTGCATCCAACTGTTTTGCAATTTCTGCGCTCCGAGCCAGGAAAACGCAGGACAAGACGAGGGCTGATAGTAAAAGCCCAGCGAGTGCAGATGCGATGCACGGACAATGAGAGCTATTTCGATGTCGAAAAAGAAATGAACGAGCTCGAAAGATCATATGAGAGAGCGGAAGGCGGAAGGGACGATCACAGATCTAGCTGGTTTATACGAAGCGGAGAGCTGCTCAGCAATGCGAGAGAGAAGGATAAGATGATTAGTGAGCTGGAAGTACTCCAGAGGCAATTTGACGAAGCGACGGACTTGGCGTTTGAAATTGTAAGAACAACTCACCGCGTGCCAGTTGCCTCAGCTGAAACGCAGCAGTATACCGGTAATTCGCATCAACAGTGCCGCGATGAAGCCAGGGAAGTCGGCGGCACGCACGTTGGCTTAGGGTATCACGCTACCCTTGCGCTGTGGGGTACCACGTCATTGCCCCTCGCTGGAATCAGACCCGCGCCCCGGATACCTTGCGCTGGCCTCCTGACGGCCAAACTCAACCAACTCGTGCGCTGTGACTGGGGTTGTGCATGTATTAGCAACATAATGTGGCCCAGGTCGGCAGACTTTCAATTAGCCAAGCGAGCTACTCAGGCCAGGGTGCATGATCACTATTCGCAGCACTTATCGTCCATGCAGCAGTCGGGTTAACATGTGAAACTTTCCGTCTGTGGGGCCGGACATGGCAGAATGCCTCATTGTGTAGCAAATCGCAACACAGCTATAAATACTACTTGAAGTATTATCTTTTAACAGAAAAGTTGATACATGAAGGGACCATGATGGGACAGATCAATGAACGCATGCAGCACGGACGCCACTACAAGTTTAGGTGAGGCCTTTGCTTAGAATTATTTGCATGTGAGCTGAAGATTGTGTTGGTGCTTGCAGTTTTGATGCATCTCTCGTTTTCTCTTTGCTCAAGTTGTATCTGTCTAATATGTAAGTCCGAACCCAGTAGTGCAGACATTGCTGATGTTAAGACTCAACTGATGCAAGAGTTGTCCGATGTACCGTATCATCCGGGGTACAAGCCACACTTTTTTTCGCTAAAAATCGGACCAAAATCGCCCCTGCGGCTTATACACCGAATATGCATGCGCGAATGAATGCTTAGCATACATCAGTATGCATGCTGACGTCATGTGACATGTCATTCGACTCAGCTTCGCGCCTGTGTTGCTGATCAACATCATTGGCAGCGAGACTGAAGATAGTGCAGATGACATGGAGTGATCTGTAGTCAACACAGCAATACACCAACATCTCTGCAGCAACCTGTGGTGCACTAACACTTCATAATCTGATCTAACATGGTATTTAGCTCCATAACCATAATAAATTTGTAGAAAGGCCATTTGTCATTGAGTGTGAAAAATCTTGGTTTGTGGGTGCGGCTTATACTCCGAATACCAACTTTTAGTCAATATTTTGCCTCAAAAAGGGGGGTGCGGCTTATACCCCGGAAAATACGGTATTCGACGATTCCCAGTTGAAGCCCATGGCTGGTCCTCACATGGAGATAAAGCTTCAATCTGATGCCACACCAACCCGCATTAAATGGTGGCCGCGCAATCCCATTCGCCTTCCGAGATCAGATAAATCTCAACTGGACTACATAGTGATCAATGGAATTATTGAGCCAGTCACTGAACCGTCAGACTGGTGCCACCCAATCGTCATCGCAGGCAAGAAGTCTTCCCCTGAGAAACGCCTGACCGTTAATTTGCGTAAACTCAACGACCAAGTCTGCAGACCTACACACCCAGCTCGTACTCCGCGTGACGCCGTGACAGCTATCGCTAAAGTCCGTTTCTTCACCACGCTTGACGCTCATCATGGGTACTGGCAAATACCCCTGTCTTGTCTTCCCGCGGGGTTGTCGTGGCTATCAGTGACCACCGCGACTACTACCGAGTGGACGTGTATATTGGCGCAACCGTCGCTACCTCCACCCATACCGTCCTCCTGCTCCAGCTTCAGAAGCCATGCCTACATCCTCTCCCGTACCAGATGCTGCACCACAAGCAGTCCCTGTGACTCAGTCCTCGCCACAGTCAACTGTTCAGGTACCACCTCGAACAAGCCAACGTACCGGGCGACAGAATGTCCCCTTTAACATTATTTCAACTCATGGGCAGTCGTACAATTAACACTCGCTCTGTTCAGCTGCTTGTTTCCATCGTACCTATTCAATAGGCCGTATGCAAGCAAAATGGCCGCCGCAAAATGGCGTATGCACGTGACCCCTCTGCGGGGACACTTTTTTGAGTGGCCTCAGCGCTGCTGTTTTTTATGCATGACAGCCAGTGTTTTTTAGTGCTGTCAAGAAGAGGTTCGAGTGGTCTCTCGAGTTCTATACTAAGCTCTTGACAATGTCACTGTCATCTGACCCCAGCAAGTGGACATTAGGCGTCCTGCAGGGTTTCTGCAGTAGCAACGGCCTGAAAAAAAAGCGGAAAGAAAGCCGATGTCCTGAATCGGTAAGTCATTATTTTCTCTCCAAAAACTTTTCAAATGGTTTTGATTTTTTGCCCAGTGCATTAATTTTACGAACTTAGAAGTTGCCACTTCGGCGGTAATAGTCATGAAGTTGGTTGCTCCAACGAGGAGCACACGCTTCTTGCCGAACTTGACACTTGACTGACTCACGACTGCCATCCGGAGCACACGAGGAGCACGTCGCACCTTCCGCTCGGCAAACCTGAAAGAAAGCACCACTCCCTGCTCAATACACAGTGTTTCGGGGAATTCACCCCTCATCAGTTGAGCTTGAGTAGGCTGAGGAAGATTGTGCCTGAAAAGCACCACTTATATACTGCTCTCCGGGCCAAACCATCACCAGGGATACCAACTTACAGAGGCGCTTTGTTTCCAGCGCGACAAACACCTCAGGTTTGCCGAGCGCAAGGTGCGACGTGCTCCTCGTGTGCTCCGGATGGCAGTCGTGAGTCAGTCAAGTGTTAAGTTCGGCAAGAAGCGTGTGCTCCTCGTTGGAGCAACCAACTTCATGACTATTACCGCCGAAGTCGCAACTTCTAAGTTCGTATTGTTGTCCCTCACGTGTACATGCGACTAGTTGTTGGAGGTGACAGCGTTGTGAATAGCTATACTGGCTCTCAACGTCTGTTTAGCACAACTCCATGAGCGACTCTGACTCACGCTGCTACCTGGGGCTTCACGAGGTGTTTGTCGCGCTGGAAACAAAGCGTCTCTGTAAGTTGGTATCCCTGGTGATGGTTTTGTAGTGTATCCACTCCAAACCCCATGGAGATTTCCGTCAAATTTGTCTAAATCGCAACTTGTACTCTTGACCCTTCCTTACTTTTTGGTCCCGTATATCCATAATCACTCTACTCTAGTTTCTGCTGATCCCGCGTACCCGCGCGCGGTGTTCTCACGCACCGTATTGCGTGGTACGATAATGTTGTACTTTCCTATGCCGCGTACCCATTTTTGGCTTTCTTCTTCCTTTTTCTGTATTCTCCCTTCGACAAGAAGTGCTTCTCTTCCCTTGGTAGTTAGGAGACGGTTGTCGTTTTTCTCTCTCAACTTCAGTTTATCCATGTAATTCTGGTGCCCCTGGCTTGCTGTGTCGTGTGGTGTTGGATGTGAGGAATTTGCATGCTTCCCGAAGATTCCCACAATTGGTGACCCCGATTTTGCCGTGTTTTACTATGTCTACGCCGGTTCGTCCCCCTGCCTCTGTCGGACGTGGACGTCCACGGGGTTCCGGAGCTGTTTCAAATACGCCGCCCCAGCCAACTGCGTCCAGTCCCCATGCCACTGACGGACAACCTGTACCAGCACCTCCACCAGCAGCAGTAACCAGCGTTTCTCTCAAACTCCCACCTTTCTGGCCGAACGATCCGCAACTGTGGTTCACCCAGGTCGAAGCGCAGTTTGCCATAAAGGGCATCACCGTGGAGAACACCAAATACCAATACGTGGTGAGCTCGCTATCCCATGAGTTCGCTCATGAGGTGCGCGATGTTCTTCTGCAACCGCCAACTCAGCAACCCTACACCAACTTGAAGCGGCACCTCGTGGAGCGTTTGTGCGCCAGCGAGCAGAAGCGCATCCGCCAGCTTCTCACGGAGGCACAACTCGGAGATCGCCGTCCATCGCAATTCCTCCGGCATCTTCGCCAGCTGCAGGGCACCTCTACGGTGGAGTCTGCAGTGCTCCAGGAACTGTTTCTGCAGCGACTCCCACCCCATGTACGAATGGTCCTCGCCTCCGCATCCTCACTGTCTCTGGAACAGCAGGCCTCCCTCGCTGACAATCTAATGGAAATCGCCAGCACTCCGCAGCCTGCCCTACATCATGTCGCCGCTACGCCTGTATCACCCAGCCCTGACGCGTCCATGGAGCTTCAAGAACTGCGTGCCGAAATTTCCTCCCTCCGCCAACAACTGGACCGTGCCAGCTCGTCTCAGCACCGTGGTCAATCCCAATCACCAGGGCATGGCCGTAGCAAGTCCCCACGACGGCCACAGAAGGACCAGTCTGACGACACTCTCTGCTTTTACCACCGTAGATTTGGCGATAAAGCCCAGCGCTGCACGATGCCATGTTCCGAGTCGGAAAACTTCCGCGCCAGCCATTAGCTGCGGCGTCATGTGCTGGCGAGCAGTCACCTAGCCGCCTCCTCCACCTGACTGACCCCACAACTCGTACACGTTTCCTGGTCGACACAGGAGCTCAACTTAGTGTTTTGCCGGCCACTCGCACTGATCGCCGCGGTACATCGTCCCAGTCACTCCGCGCTGCCAACGGTACACCCATTGCTACATATGGACACCGTAGTGTTACTGTCGACCTGGGACTCCGGCGCCGTTTTCAGTGGGTCTTTGTGGTCGCTGAGGTGGAACAGGCCATTCTAGGAGCGGATTTCCTCCATACTCATCACCTGCTCGTCGACATTCGTGGCAAGAAGATCGTAGATTGCCTCACAAATATGTCTACAACTGCACACACCATGTTTACCGCTTCTCCTGTGCGTCCGGTCGTTAACCTCCTGTCGGCACCTCCTCCTGTCCAGGAGTTGCTCACCGAGTTTTCGGGCATTACTCGTCCGTTCTCCGCAGTTCAAGAACCCCAGCACTCAGTCGCTCACCATGTGACCACCAAGGGTCCCCCGGTTCACGCCCAAGCTCGCCGCCTCGCACCTGACAAGCTACAGTCAGCCAAGGCGGAGTTTCAACACATGCTGGATCTCGGAATTATTCGTCCTTCGTGCAGCCCATGGTCCTCACCATTGCACATGGTCGCTAAACCCTCTGGCGATTGGAGGCCGTGCGGAGATTATCGTGCACTGAACAATGCCACCGTCCCCGACCGCTACCCCATTCCGCACCTGCAGGACTTCACAGGGCAACTTCATGGCTGCACAGTATTCTCGAAGTTGGACTTGGTGCGCGCCTACCATCAGATCCCGCTACATCCTGACGACATCCCGAAAACGGCCGTCATCACGCCCTTCGGACTGTTCGAGTTCACCAGGATGCCATTTGGTCTACGGAACGCCGCCCAAACATTTCAACGCTTCATGGACCAGGTGCTACGTGGGCTGCCATTCTGTTTCACCTACATTGACGACCTTCTCGTGGCTAGTACTGACATGAAGAGCCACATGGAACACCTTCGTGCCGTCTTCCAGCGCCTGGCTGACCACGGAATTGTCATCCACCCAACCAAGAGTGAGTTTGCTGTATCCTCCTTAGATTTTCTAGGACATCATGTTAATCCTGTAGGTATTACCCCCTTAGATAGCAACATGTCCTCCATTCAATCTTATGCCCAGCCCACTACTACCAGTTCTTTGCGTCGTTTCCTTGGTTTTGTGAATTTCTATCATCGTTTCATTCCTCACTCTGCTGTCATTCTCCAGCCATTGCATGCATTGCTGTCCTCGCACCCTGCTCGTCCTAAATCAGTGCCACTGTCATGGACCGATGATGCAATCACTGCTTTCACTGACATCAAAGCTGCTCTGTCACAGGCAGCTATCCTGGCTCATCCACATCCCTCTGCTCCTATTTGCCTCATGACTGATGCCTCTAATTCTGGCATTGGCGGTGCACTTCAACAGTTTGTGGATGACCAGTGGCAACCTCTCGCCTTCTTTTCTCGTAAGCTCACGTCTACCCAGCAGCGGTACAGCACCTTTGGCCGAGAACTCCTCGCCATGCATTCCGCTGTCAAGCATTTTCGTTACTTGCTGGAAGGTCGCTGCTTCTTCATTGCCACTGACCATCGCCCCTTGACTTCCGCTTTGGCTGCACCTCCAGAGCGCTACTCTCCACGCGAGGTACGTCATCTGCAGTTTATTTCAGAGTTCACCACTGACATTCGTTTTGTCCCTGGCCTGGAAAACCCTGCTGCAGATGCCTTGTCCCGTATCAACAGTGTCTACCGCCCTACAGATCGTATTGACTTCAGCGCATTGGCTGCTGCTCAGCGCAATGATGATGAGTTGATCGCCCTTCGATCTCGACCAGACACCAGCCTCGTGTTTGAAGATCAGCCCTGCCCTTCCGCTGAGTCTACGATTGTTGTTGATACCTCTACCGGCACAGCCCGCCCCTACGTCCCGCAGCTGTTCCGACGTTCCGTGTTCGATACCTTACATGCCTTGTCTCATCCTGGCATCCGTGCGACGCAGAAGTTAGTCTGTTCTCGCTATGTTTGGCCCGGCATGAATCGTGACATCCGTGACTGGTCCCGCGCATGCTCCTCCTGCCAACGCTCCAAGATCCACCGTCACACCCGCAGCAAACCTGGCATCTTCCCATTGCCTGAAGCCCGTTTTCAGCAGGTGCATCTTGATCTTGTCGGCCCATTGCCCATGTCCAATGGCTACACGCACTTACTGACATGTGTGGACCGTTTCACCCGCTGGCCTATCGCTGTCCCTCTCTCGAACACAGTCACATCTACTGTCTTGGCTGCGTTTCTCTCTCATTGGATAGGTAATTTCGGCGTTCCCACCCACATTGTCACAGATCGTGGTGCCCAATTCGAATCCATTCAGTTCACCGCCTTCCTTCGTGATTTCGGCATCAAGCGTCGTCGCACAACAGCATATCACCCCCAAAGTAATGGTCTCGTTGAGCGTTTTCACCGGACCCTGAAATCTTCCCTCATGTGCACGCCTCATCCTGAACGTTGGTCTGAGAATCTTGCTCTGGTCTTGCTTGGCCTCCGGTCGACTGAGAAGGCTGATTTGGGTTGTTCTCCGGCAGAGCTTGTTTATGGTAACTCTCTCCGTTTGCCGCAGGATTTCTACCGCGCCGCGCCGGAGGTTACACCCGACCCTGCCAGCTACTTGTCCCGCCTTCGAGAGTTTGCTCACACCCTTCAACCTAGTGCCTCTCGTCCTGCAGCCACACCCGTTCACTTATCTCCTGACCTCCAGACCTGTACTCACGTCTTCGTCCGGAATGAGAAACGTCGTTCTCTGGAGCCACCGTACGACGGCCCCTTCCCTGTTCTCCGGCGGTCTGATAAGTACTTTTCCGTTGATATCCGTGGCACCACTCGGGTCATATCGATTGATCGTTTAAAGCCTGCCCATCTGCCAGTGCCTGCTAGTTCTGCTCCGCCGACTGCAGCCCCTGTCCATGTTGTGAAGCGAGTCCATTGGCATTGATCACTTGCCATATCTGCCATGTTCTCTGGTCATTCCTTTCTGTTCTCTCTCCTGTTCTCTACATCTACTCCTAATCTCTTTCTTCCTCTCTCTTGCCTTGATATTCTTTTAGGGGGGAGGTACTGTAGTGTATCCACTCCAAACCCCATGGAGATTTCCGTCAAATTTGTCTAAATCGCAACTTGTACTCTTGACCCTTCCTTACTTTTTGGTCCCGTATATCCATAATCACTCTACTCTAGTTTCTGCCGATCCCGCGTACCCGCGCGCGGTGTTCTCACGCACCGTATTGCGTGGTACGATAATGTTGTACTTTCCTATGCCGCGTACCCATTTTTGGCTTTCTTCTTCCTTTTTCTGTATTCTCCCTTCGACAAGAAGTGCTTCTCTTCCCTTGGTAGTTAGGAGACGGTTGTCGTTTTTTCTCTCTCAACTTCAGTTTATCCATGTAATTCTGGTGCCCCTGGCTTGCTGTGTCGTGTGGTGTTGGATGTGAGGAATTTGCATGCTTCCCGAAGATTCCCACAGTTTGGCCTGGAGAGCAGTATATAAGTGGTGCTTTTCAGGCACAATCTTCCTCAGCCTACTCAAGCTCAACTGATGAGGGGTGAATTCCCCGAAACACTGTGTATTGAGCAGGGAGTGGTGCTTTCTTTCAGGTTTGCCGAGCGGAAGATGCAACGTGCTCCTCGTGTGCTCCGGATGGCAGTCGTGAGTCAGTCAAGTGTCAAGTTCGGCAAGAAGCGTGTGCTCCTCGTTGGAGCAACCAACTTCATGCATTAATTTTGTTTATAATATTTCCGTCTCCTCCTTTGATGACTACTTCCTACTAATCTGCAGAGTCCAAGAGCACATCGAAAAGCAAACGGGCAGCTCGAGTTCTGCAGGGACTGGCTTGCTTTCAGCTCCCCTTGACTCTGGTTTGAGCAGTGCTTCAGCAGCTAGTTCGAGCTCTGAAGCTGCGACTAGTGCGTCTCAACCTTCCCAGACACCGCTGTCCGAGTTCCCTTCTGCTGGTTGGAAAACTGTTCAATCTGCCAGATCCAGCTGCCCTGCTTTCTCCCTTGGTACCCTCATCAAGTTTTTCGTCGACAAGGTAACTGTGGATGGCCAGCCAACAGCTAACTTCAAGGCGCTGGGCCTTGATGGCAGCGACAGCAAATCACTGAGACTGTTCAAGCGTGGATATGTGCAGAAGATAGAGATTGTGGCGCTGGATGACAAATCTGACGTCTATATTCGAGCACGGTGTGAGCCTGAAATGCGGTCAGCCAAGCCGTATAAGCTGAAGCTCCTTTGTGTTGTTGGTGAGGGAGAGGAGAGACCTGTGAAGGACATCCCGTTTGCCGAGTGTTACCCGTGCCCTGCCGGCAAAGCCCCTCATGCAAGCTGCAAGCACATTGCAGCGTTGCTTTATGCCCTTGTGGAGTTTTGTGAGCTGGGCTTCACAAGGGAATTTGTAACGGTGACAGACACGTTACAATCGTGGAATAAGCCGCACACGAAAAAATCGGAACCAAAACGTGCTGTGGAGCTGGACTGGAGCAAGCCTCTTCTGAAAACTGCTGGGCAAGCCAAAAGGTTGAAAACGAAGCAAACCCCTGCAGACATTGCAAAGCTGGATCCCCGTGTACCTCAAGATCGTGGCTCCACTGCACGGGCTGCATCTACCCTCACCAAGGAGATGCTTGTCAGGAAATACATACCTGGCTTGCTGACGGTCGCTGGCGATGATGCTGTCCAGGAGGCCCAGCGCACTGAGAGACTTGCTGGAGCAAAGGCACAGCACGCATCCTTTCAGGTAGGGTTGCAAGGAATATTCTAATGTTCTACGGTTGTATGGGCGTTGTCTTGTGACACATGCGCACACGCTGCTCAAGTGTCGATCTATCATAGCAGTTCTAGAGCGGATGGGGTGATATGTACATGTGTTATAGATATGTTGAGAAAGGGGATTATGACTCCCAAGAGTAGTGAACATGACTTCACTGTCTACTTGGTCTACAACGACCGTGGACTAGCCAAAATCTTTAAGATTTTGTTGGTATAGAAAATTCGATGTTCGACGATTCCTTTATAAAAAATATTCGATTCGTTCCGATTTAAAGTTTTCGTTTCCTCCCTACTTTTAGGAACAACATCCAAGTGCATCCATGACAACAGCTACTGTTACTACCCCCACTACAGCTACCACTACTACAGCTGCTTCTTCCACGCCAGGTATGGATGAGCCCATGGAAGAATCAATGGATGAGCCAGTGAGTGGAGCAGCTGGAGGCAGTGGCATTGAGATCAGTCCAGCCTTGAGATCTGGGAATGTTATCTTGTGCGAGATAAGCATTCCAAACAGCTCTCTTTGCACATTTAATGGCTTTTTACGCAAATGTTGCTCATATACATTCTGTACTTGTCTTACACCTGGTGTAATGTGTTGTGTCATGTACTGACATAAGGAAGTGCTTTATTTTACAGACAGATGAGTGTAGATATAGTGAAGAGTCAGGGAGGCCATGCCCAGCAGAGCATGGTGTCGTGCGTAGCACGGGGGTAGTGAGAGGTCACGTACCGTCTATACATGGCGACAGGCAGGGGAAGGACTATGCCGTGAATGGGTGAAAGGATAACATGATACAGGATAGGACATCTCCCCCTTTTTGAAAAAAAATTGAAGAGAGAAAAAACACAACAGCTGGGAAAAAACTGTTATGGAGCAAAGGCAAGACAGATACATGTACGGGTTGTACATAGCCGAGCACATAGAACAGAACTATGCAATGTGCGGGAGAGCAATAGCAATAGCATGAAGCCAGAGAGAGAGTTACATGGTAGCGATCAATCTCTGCGGTGGCTAGATGTTGTTGCGGGCACGCAGAGTTGGCTGTGACGTAGGCACAGGCTGTTGTTGCGGGACTAGCGCGGCCGGTGGTACTGCTGGCACCGGTCCGGGAGGAGTCACTGGCTGGAGCAACTTCACTGCACGACGGTTTCGGCGCAGAAGACCGGATGAGGTGGCGATGTTGTAGGAGCGATCGGTGAGTTGCTCAACCACTGTACCCTCGCGCTTGTCGTCGACCCACACTTTC